TCTCTGGTTTGCGGGCTGGTTCGAGTTTCTGGGACAGCACCGTCAGGATGGTGTCGAATTTCTTGTAGCGCCCCGCCTGGGCCCCGGCCGCTGCTTTGCTGCCCCAGAATAAGCGGAGCGCGAACTCCGTTTGGAACGCTTCGAGGAGCTCCGGCGTGGCTCGGAAGCCTAGGGCGACACAGAGAAGGGGCTGAGAGACACAGGCAGGCGGGGGGCGGGGGGGGCTAAGACTGGGCTTTACTGAAGGCCAGGACTCGCTCCCCCACATCCAAGCGAATTGGCGGGGGGCGCTGGATTTGAAAATATGAATTGGAGCGGCCTTGGTCGGGCCTCATGGGAGTTGCGGTGCAGTGGCCTCATGTCTGCCCCCTCCCCCCATTATCAAGGGTCCCTGTTTGAACTACATCCCCCATGATGCACCACAGCATCTCCCGTCAGGGTGCAGGGAGCAATGGCTTCGTGGGCGTCCCAGTTTATGGTGCATCATGGGAGACGTAGTCCAGCTGGGGCACTTACCCCAGAGACAATGGAGATGTTGAGGCAACTGAACTACACCTCCCATGAGGCTCTGGGACAGGTCCAAGCCGGGGTGGGATACGGGGGCTCTGCAGCCCTACCTTGGAGCTTAGCCTCGGCGGTGGCTTTGTAGGCTCCGGCGCTGGGGCGTCCCAGTTTATGGTGCATCATGGGAGACGTAGTCCAGCTGGGGCACTTACCCCAGAGACAATGGAGATGTTGAGGCAACTGAACTACACCTCCCATGAGGCTCTGGGACAGGTCCAAGCCGGGGTGGGATACGGGGGCTCTGCAGCCCTACCTTGGAGCTTAGCCTCGGCGGTGGCTTTGTAGGCTCCGGCGCTGGTGGCGATGGGGGAGGAGGGGCAGACAGATGCCTTGAGCAGGGGTCGGTACCCGAATGGGTATCCCGCCTGGGCCTTGCCCCCGGGCGCTGCTGCCCTCCGCTCTCCTGCACCGCCGGGAGCTGGCCCCACAACGCCCCAGCCCCCCAAGGCTTCCCCCCGCAGCCGCTCCTCG